CCGCGGGTCCCGGCGGGTGCCCGGAGCTCTCGCGTGCGGCGGCCGGGCTGGGCCATGCCGCCCCTCCGGCGGCTGGCACCCGGGGTAGACAGGGGCGAGAGCGCTTTGCGGCCTGCGGGGATTTATCTAGCGATTCTGGTTTTATCCCTGGCAGTGTTCTAGGAGCGAGGCTGTAGGCCTGTCCTCCTGCACCTATGCGTAAGGGCATCCGTATTAATAATGTTTCCAAAAAGGAGTAAAAGTTAGGACAAAAGGTAATGGCCTCAAATTGCGCCAGGAAGGTTTAGACTAGATATTAGGAAGTATTTCTTTACACAATGAGTTGTTGGGCGTTGGAGTGGGCTGCCCATGGAGGTGGTGGAGTCCCCATCCCTGGAGGTGTTTAAAAGTAGGGTAGACTTAGCGCTGACTGATATGGTGTAGTTGGGAACTGTCAGTGTTAAGTTAATGGTTGGACTGGATGACCTTCAAGGTCTTTTCTGACCTAGACGATTCTGTGAAAAGGATCATGCCTTGCATTCCCGTTTGTTTGAATAACATCAATGTAATCCTCATTCTTTTAATGTGATGTCCTGATTTTTTTCCTTTTTTAAATTTTTTTAGGTAAAAATGAAGGCCAAAAACCGAGGGAGATTTACATCTTCCTTTAAATTGAAACAAAAAGGCATTCAAGTAGTAGGAAAATGGAAAACTGTGCAAATCGACCCCAATCTATTTGCTGATGAGGAGTTTAGAGATATAGTATGCTTGGAGGAACTTACAGAGTATAAGCTAGTAAGTTCTTCTAAAGTGGGGAAAGTAAAAGAGAAGAGAAAGGCTGAGAGTGTTTCAGAAGATGGCAATGAGGAGGAGGAGGAAGAACTTGTTGTCCCTCCCAAAAAGAAAAAGAGAAAAAAAGATTTGAGAAGCGAAACAGATAAAAGCGATGATCCTAATGCAGCAAAAAATGATATACCAGTTGATAAAAAGGCAAAGTGTAATGAAATAATTGAAGCAGCAAATTCTGAGAACCATGGCCATGTGACTGAGAGCACTTCAAGCACAAAAGATGCTCCAAAGAAAAAGAAGGTAGCTAAAAATAAGACTTCTCGAGTTCAGGAAGCTCTTCCATCAGTATCTACTTCTAAAAAAGTTAAAAACTGGACAACAGAAGTTTTATCTGCCTCTACTGATCACAGAGCTGATGTGTCTGCCTGGAAAGACCTGTTTGTACCTGAACCAGTGTTGCGTGCCTTGAGCTACTTGGGGTTTAGTGCTCCAACTCCTATTCAAGCCTTAGCCTTGCCTCCTGCCATCCGGGATAATATGGATGTTCTTGGTGCTGCAGAAACAGGTACAAATCTGTTAAACTGGTTGTATATGCTGGGAACTTCCCATCTCACCTCTTTAAATGTAGGTCGTGGTTTCAAGTTTTTATCTGTAGCAGAAGAAGCATTTATATGTAGGAGGAGAGTTTGAATCTTCTGCATATCCAACATACCAGTAATGATTCATTGTAAAGTATTAAAACTTTGTAACTTACAAACAGAGGGCATTCCATCTATACAAAGCTTTGGAGCCTCAGTGAGTCTTTATGTTTTTGAGAGAAGTCTCTTTTTCGGTTGTTTCTCAAATTGTTTCATATTTTGGGAACTGCAAGGCAATATGCTGCAAAGGGGAGAATTAACGAAACAAGCAGGGTCATTTTTCCAACAGCCTAACTTCTGTGGATGTCCCTGTGCCAAGGCAAAGCAGAGAACTAGGTTCCCCTGAAGGTGATTTAATATTAGCTTGGAGTGGTAAATAAATGCTAGGCACTGTTAGGCGTGAATATGGCCTAGGCCTTTATTGTAGCAAAACAGGCCAACCCTGTTCTCTCTCTGGGACTGTACATTGTCACCAACCCTTCTCACAGCTTGTGCTTTTATTACAATCATAACTTGAGAGGTACTGTTTCTTGTCCAGCTTGTGATCCAGCTTATGCCTTTGTCTTTGAGCATTGCTAGCCTCCGTGAAATTTGTTATGGCTCCTTTTTTACTTAATACCGTGAAATCTCAGAACATTATTCCCTTTTTTTTTTTTTTTTTTTTTTTTTCTGCTAATACCTTTGAAGTTTTCTCTTCTTTAGCACATTTTTTTCCAAAAAAAGCCCTAAAAATAGGAAGCACAATTGGAAGCTGCATTGGTTTAAAGGCTTCTTTGGCATTCTTTTCATCTGTTCCATTTGCTTTATCTCACTGCTTGTCTTATAAAACCATTTACTACTCCCGAGCATGAAGGTATATACTAATATGCAGTCATTTGCATTTTTATTTTAATTAGAAGCTAGGCTGGTGCTGTTAGCTTTAATAAGATTGGAAAGTCCCGCAGGGAGTGTTCTTGAAAATGGAACTGAAGATTTAAACGGTGGTTTTGTCCTGCAAAAAAGTGCCATTTTGACGGTGCTGGAAAGCAAATCCCTCACTAGCTACAGAATGGAAAGCACTGTTGGTTTTGCATAACCCTGAGGTAGTAGGACTGTTGTGCTCATTTATTTTCTTTCATGAGAGAAAACCAGGTTCTCTCCACAGAGCCCAGTGGTCATCAGTGTTCCTGTGGAAACTTGAGGGAAAGTGTGGACAGTTGTTTTAGGAAATGCTGCAGCTGGGAGAGGCTGAAACTCTGCAGTTCCTTTTTCCACATCCTGCTGCTTCCCTTAGCATTGGGCTTGAGGGAGGAAGGTGACAGGTGAAAGAACTATTAGTCTTGCCTTTTTGGTAACAACAGGGAGAACGGCAAGATTTTGATAGAGCAGTAGATCCACGTGGAGATCAGATGCAGGAATGTCAAGGCTTGTTATGCAGTGGATCTAACCAGTACTGCTCATTACCATATAGAACTAGTGAAGCTTTTGGTTAAGGAACCAAATTTTATCTCTGTAAAATCTTACAATCTAAAACCATTTAAAAGAGCATGAATTAGCTTGAGCTGTAGTATCTAGGGGGTACCAAGATAAACTTTTCTCCTGGTTTTGTAGGCCTGGCTATGGTATGTGATCTGTGTGTCATAAAGATGACGTGCCCTGTGAGGTGATTCTTTAATTTGTGGGTGAATCTACTGCCTGCAGAATAGTCCTGATCATCACAGCCATGATCTAGCTGGGTGCAGTACTGACATTTGCACCAGCCAAATTGCATTACATTTAATTCAAGATCAGCAGTGTTCTTCACCTTAAAAACAGATGTTCTGGTAATACAGAATCTTACTGTATCTGCAAAATGAATTGCATGTTGAATCTGCAGATCCAGATTATAAACATTTTTTGCTTCAAGTGCAGAAGTCACGAGAGACCTCCCAGACATGCAGAAAGGTGAGGAAGGGGATATCAGGAACCTTTGCAGCAGTATTGATCAGGATAACAATACTGGTCTTACCTGTTTATTAACTAATCTTAAGGTTCTCCCCTAAATAGACAAAATTCTGTGTTGCTGAATTTGGCAAACCATTATGGGTTTGTGATATGGACAAATGGTGCTCAAGGAATTGAGATGAGATTTCCAGAGGACTGCTTCCCAGCAGTGGCCTATTGCAGCAATGGTGTAACAGTGTCTTGTGCTCTGAATGCTGCTTTTGTGATCAATGAGCTGATATTCGTGAGAACCTTAACTGGTGTGGATGTGCTACCAGATTTCTCCTAACATCCTTATTAGTGACAGATAGGTTAGAAGAGAGTATGTGGTAGGGATGTGACTTGCAGTTTGGTATAGTAAACCCCTGAAATAAAAATAAGGGGAGCATTTTTGTATTTGACACCCCCCTTCTCTCCAAAGTGGATTATCTGTTTTAAATCAGATTTATGTGTTTTGATTATAGACAGGGGAATATTTCAAAATACTGTGATTATAACTTTCTAAGAAACTGTACTGTAAATTGAACATCGGAGCGGATCCTTCAAGTATATTTCATTTTGTCCTTGGCCTCATTTGCTATTCCTTTATTTGGAGAACATTGATCAGAACTGTCAATTAGGGCATGGTATTCTCCTTACGGGCATACAGTTCTTTAAAAATATCTCGGCTGCAACTGCAGTTTTTAAAAAACACTTTCAGAACAAATTACTCTGCCTGACCTGCTAGAGATTGGAAAAATACCTATTCCCCAGGAAGTATGCTATTGGTGACCTCAAGGAGATGCATAAAGGGAACATGAGAAAAGATGCTATTGCTGCAAGTTTCTGGTCTTCTAAAGATGAAGAGTTTGTGTGTGTTACACCGTTCTTAAAACATACAGTTGTATGATTGGCTGTTGCTTTTCTCATCCTTTCAAATAAATGACTTGTCAGTCTGTATTATTCTTCTTGCTTGTTTTTTTAGGAAGCGGCAAAACGCTTGCATTTGCAATTCCAATGATTCACTCTGTGCTGCAGTGGCAAAAATCAAATAGCTCAACAACCAGAAATGACAGTGTTTCTAAAGAGTCCCATCAGCATTATGATGAAACAAGATGGGAAAATGAGGATGAAGCAAAAAAACTAACCCATCAGCAGGTTGAAGATAGCGGAGATGAAGATGATGGATCTTTCACAACAGGCTGTGTGAAGGTGCTGGAAAATTTTGAATTTGATTCTGGTGACGAGACACATACAGTTGGATCCTGTAAAAAGAGACCTCTTTTAGGACTGGTCCTTACTCCCACAAGAGAATTAGCTGTACAAGTAAAACACCACATTGATGCAGTTGCAAAGTTTACAGGTATGTACACCCCACAGGCCGTATCCCAGATTATGCTGCGTTTGGATCTTGGCATTGGTGTTGAGCCAAAATGTGTGCCACAGTTTCTTCTGCATCATGAAATTGGATTGGCTTTTGGAAGGTTAGGGTTTGTAGTTGCTAATATTTGAGAAATGTATTTGCATTCTTCAGTGAGATGCATTTGGAACTAAACAGTTAATATGGGATATTTTGCTTTAAAATGTTTCTTCCTTCAAATAGCTTTGGCTTGTGCTTTAGCAACACAGAATTAGTACTATATAGCCAGTCACAAATAACTTTCTCCTGGTTTTCAATAGTGTAGGTTATATATTAATAATAAATTCATTGTATGTATATAACTTAGTAATATGTATATGGTAACTTTTTTTGACAAATATATCTATGTAGATAATAGGTTATAGATACAGACATATCTATAATTTAGGTCTATCTATGAAAAACAGAAACTGTGGCCATAAATTTTAAGGGTAGAAGGCATTGCTGGATTGTGTAATTTACCTCCTGCAGCAGTCAGGCCACAGTATATTGCTGGGTAACATGCCTGATGAAAGAAATTCCATCCTCTTCCTTTCTTTTCCAAACCAGAGGTCAGCACATCCCCATCTGTTCAAGATGGGGAGAACTGGGAAACAAATCCGCAACTGTCCAGTAGTAGTAATTGTTTATTTATTGACGAGGACATGTAGTGCAGTGAGCTTTTAAGCACAACTTTGTTGTTATGTCCTGCTGTGCTCATCAGCCCACAGCTGATTACAAGGCTAATTTTAGCTCCTAGCCTGAAATAATTTATATTGCAGAATCACAGGATTGTCTAGGTAGGAAAAGACCTTGAAGATCATCTAGTCCAACCATTAACCTAACATTGACAGTTCCCAACTACACCATATCCTTAAGTGCTATCAGTACAGTTCTGATAGGAGCAGTGTTATTTGTATGTAAAAAAATCTGTTGCCCAAGTGTATAGTTGCTGCGGCAGGAGAGAAAATGTTTTGATGGTTTTTTTTATTGTCTCCAACTCACTTTGAAAAAAATCTTCACCTGGAAGCTTGGGGTTCCACAAGTAGTAGGGAAGAGAGATCAGTGGCAGCTCGGATACTGCAGGAGTCTTGCACAGTAGCATTGAGTTTGTCATGGACCTATGTAGTCTTTGAAGTAGTAGGGTGAAATAAGCCGTGTGAGGAGTCTGTGTTTCCAAATCTAAACTCCTTTTAGTACCTCAGCAGATTGTCAAAAGCTAACTTAGGGTCTGCACTACTGTGCCATCCAGAGAATTATTAATTGAGTGGGACTGTTCTTGTTAGTATTATTCCATAACAGTTATTAGCAAGACAAGCATTTTTCAGTCTTATTCTTGGGAGGCCTGCTCATTATTCATAACAGGAACATGCTTGGTCATGCAGATATAATTGACAAAACATGCGATTCTGAAGTACAGGTAAACAAAGCTAACACCTATGGAGTACATACATGATTCTTCCTGCTATGGGAAAACAGGTGCACTAAAAGAAAGACTAGTTTTGGTATCGAACAATAATGAGGATTTTTCTGTAAAACTGAGGGCATTTCTGTGTGTTCAGTGTTACATAAAACCCCTGAAGTTTCCTGGCCAAAACGTTTTCTTAAAGTTGCGGTATAGACTTTGTAAAATGCTTCTTTGAGTGGGTCTGTGTAAAGAAATTCACTGATAAATTAGTGAGATAAAATCTGTTATTTATGTTCTAGGCATTAAGACTGCAATTCTAGTTGGAGGCATGGCTGCACAGAAACAAGAACGTGTACTGAATCGAAAGCCAGAAATTGTAATTGCAACCCCAGGCCGTCTGTGGGAGTTAGTTAAAGAGAGACACCCACATCTTTCAAATCTTCGACAGCTCAGGTAAAAGTGCCTTTTAGACTATCTGCTGGTTACTGAACTGGGTGTCACTGCATACTGATTATGTTTACTAACAGATTAAATAATTTAGACTACATACGATCACTTATTTTTTTGCCAGAGTGTTTTATTGAAATGCACCATGGTTATATTGATAGAGAAAAATGTCAGTTAAAGCCAGAGCAAAAACCTCATTGATCCTTTTGAAACCTGATTTTTCAAAAAGAAATGTGGAAGGCAACTGTAGCTACCCTGGCATACCTGGTGTTCCTTTGGGTTTTACATGCAGAACTTCCCTTATGTTTAGCAGGAAAATTTCTTTTTAAGTGTATCAGATTTGTATTTATCTGCACAGGTGTGTTTTTACTGTGTGTTTTCTATTTGACAGGTGCCTTGTGATTGATGAAGCAGACCGAATGATTGAGAAAGGTCACTTCTTAGAGCTGTCTCAGTTGCTGGAAATCTTAAATGATTCACAGTATAACCCTCAACGACAGACTTTTGTTTTTTCTGCCACTTTGACTTTAGTCCACCAGACTCCCACAAGAGTTTTACAGAAAAAGAATGCTAAAAAGATGGACAAGAAGACCAAACTAGAATTGTTAATGGAAAAAGTAGGAATAAAAGGCAAACCCAAAGTAATAGACTTAACAAGGAAAGAGGCTACTGTTGAGACTTTGACAGAAACTAGAATTCACTGTAATACAGATGAGAAGGACTACTATCTCTATTACTTTCTTCTGCAGTATCCAGGAAGAACCATGGTCTTTGCAAACAGCATAGACTGTGTAAAACGCCTCAGTTCTCTCCTCACAATCTTAAATTGTGATCCTCTTCCTTTGCATGCCAACATGCACCAAAAACAAAGGCTGAAAAACCTGGAAAGGTTTGCTGAGCGAGAGAGGTGAGTACATTTTCTACTTCCTAATAGAGAATAGAAATCATGTAAAGAGTAGTGGGGAGAAGAAACAGCTCTGTTGGAGTAGGAGCCGGTTGAGGGAGTTAGCTGGGGATGCAAGTGCCCCATTCATGCATGAGCCAAGGTTATTAATGAATAAGAATGAGGTTTCACAGAATGGTTGAGGTGATGGGGTGGAATGAGTTACCCTTGGCAAGGAGAGAGGCTGAGGACACCGACATTGTGTCACCTGGGAAAAAGACTTAGTGGGGACCTAATGGTGATCCTCTGATATCTTAAAAGGTTATCGAGGATCTAGACTCTTCACAGTAGTGCATGGTAGGAGGGTGCAAGTTAAAAATGAAAGGTTCAGGCTAGATATAAGCAAGCTTGTTTCCTGTGTGGATGGTCAGGCATTGGAACAGGCTGTTTGTTCTTGGAGGTTTTTGAGGCTCAATTACATAAAGCCATGAGCAACCTGCTCCAGCTTTATAGCTCACCCAGCTTTGAGGAGAAGGTTGGACTAGAGACCTCGTGAGGTCCCTTGGAGCCTGAATTATCCTGTGGTCCAGCAGCTCATTGCTGCTGAAGGAGCTGTCACTTGCCCTGTTTTCAGCTGTATGCTTTTATAACCATCCCGCACACTTCTCTGCCCCCATGTCTCTGCAACTTATTTGATCCTTCTGTAAGTTAGTTCATCTCAATAAACCATCAGAAAACTAGCCACTTTTTTCTGGGTTAGGATCTTGCAGGTTTAGCTAGATGAATTAGCTAGAGCAATGCCAGAGAAGGGGCAGCTATGCCTTTCAGCAGCAGTGGGCAGTAAGGTTTACCCGGGCAGACCTGTCCTGCCATTTTAAGAATTACTGTTTCCTGCTGGCTTTGGGATGGCCTCTGGGACAAGACTGGTGGTCTCACTACTTGCATAATCCAGAAGGCTCACAGTTTAGTCCCGCTGTGAAGTGCTGAATGCTGTCTGACGGCGTGGGAATTTGTGCCTTTGTAATAGACTCAGGCAGGGAAAACAGAGGTTGATTTGCTGTGATAGATCTGCAGAATCCCTTGGCAAAATGTAGTATCGATAGCATTGGCCTAGGCTAGAGAGGGCATTTTCAGGGACTGCAAATTTTCAAGACAAGGAAAAAAAAATCTGTGACCATCTATCACAGCCTCCTGCAGATTGCAAGCTGTAGAATTTTCTGCTTTGAACCTTGTAGCAATAGAGTATACAGTCAGATGCCATAAAATCTTAACAGATTCCCATTACCTACAAATAACTAGTTTCAGCTGCTGGAATTTTTTTTTTTTTTAAACAAATTGTTCTGTACCCCAAGGAGACTTTTGTCTCTGTAGTAGACTGTTTATATAACATAATGACTTTTTTGCATAGTTCTTCATTTCTATGGGTAAGAAGAAATACTAATTGTCAGAACAGACACCCCCCCTTATATTTTTAGCTTTTATTTATTGAGAGAACTTATTTCAGTGCAACTTGATAGAAGATAATTTCAGTCCCAAAAAGCTATTAATTAAATCTGTACTGTTAATAATGTGATTTTTCTCAGCGGGTTGAACTTGTAATAACATTTTTGTCCTGCCAAAAGTTCAACTGTGTTGTTAATGGTATAGTCATATCAAGCTAAAGATATTTCTAAACATAAACAATAAATATATTATAAACTGGGCAGAGCACTGAAAAATCTAATGAAGGGGAGTGTACGCCCCTGCTAAATGGTTGGATTAAGGTCATTGAATAGTGATTTGTGCTAGCATTCCTGTGAATTGGGAGAGAATAAAAGTATAGGAAAACAGGATCCAGCAAGGTAGTGAATTTCTTTATTAGAAACAGAATAGACCTGCTGAAGGTAACCTTGCATTTTTTTAACTTTATTAATTGCTGTTTCAAAGCTACCTCTGATGTAATATTGGGCATCATTTTCTGTAAGGGCAAACAAATAGCATATTTCCAGCAGATGATATAGTAGAAATCTGTTCCTTAAATTGCAGTGGTAGAATTCTAGGTCACTTGATTTTATGTTCCTTGGCAGATGGTTTACTACTCAATTTCATGTTCATTAAATGTTATCACTTTCTCAGCTGTGTCCTCCTGACAACAGATGTTGCCGCTCGTGGTCTTGATATTCCCAATGTGCAGCATGTCATCCACTACCAGGTTAAATATTTTTAATGTTTCTGTTTTTACGGGTTTAGTTTTGAAATAAGCTTTTGATGATCCAAACCCTGAACACTATTAAGCTGTGATTCTTGGTCCTGTATGTAGTATAGTCCCAAGTAGAGATTGAATCATTAATTTAACTATCCAGTAGTACTTTGTGCTGAAGGATCTCATTGCCACAGTGACTGACTGTGGTAGGTAGCACTTCATGAATGTGTGATTACAGATGAGAAATTACATTACAAATATGATTCTTTTTCCTTTGATATCCAAAAGTGTCAAATGACTCAGCCCTATTACTCTTCTCTAAGGACACATAGAATTTTTTCCAACTTTGCAAATGAAATGGCAGAGGGTCAGAAGTTAAGAGACTCACAAACGATTATGCAAGGAAGAATACTGGACTAGAGAACAAAAGTGTCTCCAGATGCAATTTTTTTTTTACTTTACCTTCAGATGTGTTACATGCAATGTACCATGTATATATAAAAAACAATATTCTTTGGCAACTTCTTGACAGGCTGCTGCTGCATTTTCGTGGCCAGCTTCATGGTTTTTCTGAATATTTTCAGGTCCCTCGTACTTCTGAGTTGTACGTACACAGAAGCGGCAGAACAGCCCGAGCTGCCAATGAAGGCCTTAGCCTGTTGCTGATTGGCCCTGATGACTTGATTAATTTTAGGAAAATTTATAAAACATTGAAGAAGAGTGAAGAGCTGCCATTTTTCCCAGTTGAAACCAAGTGCATGACTTCTATCAAGGTAAAAAAACAACAGTCTCTTTGCAGTATGAGTAGTTGCTTGTTTGCTTATATTACTGCATTGCTCATCACATTATTTCCCAGTTTCAGATAACATTACTCTTCACAAGCTGGATTTGAAAATGAAGTTAATCCTACTTTTATCTTTTTTTAAGTAATGTTTGTGATTTCTCCTCAATAACTGGCCCAAGAAATGTGTTCAAACGTAAACATCACTTACATTTTTCTTGCATGTTGTTATGTAGAGCGTCTCATGACTACATTCCCCAAAACAGTACAGAGAAGTGAGTATGTTTTGTGGCTGCGGAGCTGGGATGGCTTTGTTAACTATGTTGTTTAAAACCTCTTGTGTTAGGAACAGTAGCAGGTCAGGGATCTTCAGTGGTCCTGATCTGTCTCCAGCTAAGTAGTGAGTTGTCTGCTTTTCTAAAAGTGTGAGGCCACAGCTGCCACTGAACCCTGTCAAACCAGGTATGTTTCCTTTTTCTAGGTTATTGCCCTTTTTAAGGTGAATTCAGTCAATCAGTAACTCACAAGATGGACAACGATTAGCATTTATAAAACAACATATTTTAGAAAGCATCTAGTCACTACAGATTTTCTGCTTCTCGAATAAGAGGCCATTTCGTGTCTGAGCATTCTCTTAACAGTTTGGGTGACATCAGCCATGTACAAATGGGATGTATTTAAATACTGCATTTGAAAGGAATCCAGCTGGGTTGGTGTGTCTGAATATTGCACAGACACTGAGAACAGGAGAAAAATGCAAGCAGTCAGATAATGCAACAAGTATCTTCCTTACAGTATTCTGGTTCATGCTTATGGAGTTGGCTTGGACTGAGACCGGGGTCCGCCCCAGTGGCAGCAGCTGTTTCCTCACCTTGGCAATAATGTCAGCAAGTTTCAAAGCCCAGGCTTGCTGAAAATGGGGTATTGAGTATGAATCTTTCAGGAGATGCAGCTTTCTAAAAGAGGGAGAAAATCCAAGAAATGCTTCCCCAGCCTCGTTTTTCTCATCTTGGTAGTAGCAAAGAGAATTTCTTCTTCTTTTTTTAATCTCCTCCCTTGCCCCCCTCCACCTGACAAATGGTTCTGGTTCAACAAAGAAATCTGTTGGTTTTAGAGTGTTTCTTCCCTTCTGTGTTTCTTGATGAGTAGTTCTTGGCTCTTCTCATGCTCTTTCAATTAATGGGCAAATAAATATTGTTTTCACACTTAATTTTTCCTGTCACTATCTCATAGTCTTCTACCCAGAAAAGATGTCTTTGCAATTGTAATTACAGGACTGTAGCCTCCTAGGCCCTTCACATGGTCAGGTCTCATTTACATTTTGCCCTGGGCTTAATCACACAGCCACTGTAGTTGGTACTGCTGGTTCTTTATCTCTGTCCCCTTGGCACACTCCTTCCCTGGTTTTGCATGCCTTCATTCAAGTTCAGGAAAAGTCTGAAGGGATTTCACACTTGAGAGGAATAGAACTGGTGAACCTGGGTAGAGGAGAGACCAAGAAAGGACTCAAGTTTTACAAAGGTGGAAAACCAATAAATTTCTTGTAATGATCTAAGGAAGAGTGACTGAGTTGTGCAGTTGACTAATAAAAAACGTTTAATTTCCTCTCTCTCGCTGCGTCTTAATTAGCCAGCAGTTCTGTCTGGTGGTCAGGGTGTCCTGCACAAGGTTTATTTTGTGCAACCGCAAGCACATTCCAAAGAGCAGAACTTGCTGCTGGGTTGATTATTATTTCCTGTCAGTGCAGATTTTCTTTCCATCATAAATTAGTTACTTAAGACAGCTTGGCCCAGCTGGAAGGCTACAGGTCAGCTTAGGTTTGCTAGACATCTTTGTTCCACCTGTGTGCAGCTGGGAAGAAGGGACAGACATTTTGTCCTGTGCCTAAACAAGATCAGGTGCATTTCTGAAAACGTGAATAGCTACTTCCATGTGGCCTGCAGGAGGTTACTTCTTCAGTGGGATGAAGCTAGCGGCTGCCCATTATTGCTGAGACTGGTAACTTTAAGATCCAGCTGTACTATATAAATATGTAACTTGGAAATTACTGGTATCTGAATCATGATTTGTCCTTGATATCTCTGAAGTGTTTGTAATGACTTGTTTAAAGAACAAGGAGTTAACATTCAGGCATGTTTAGTAGTTGAGATGTTTTATAAAAGTCAGATTCTATCATGGATCTGAAGAAGGAAAACACTAGCAAATGATGACGTGTCTTTATTACATGGGGCACCTGCTGGCACAGCAGTAGGGAACAAAAGTGTCTCTGAACCTCAGTTGCATTGTAACGTATGCTCTCAAACACTGATTCTGCTAAAGTGCCTCACATTTAAACCTAATTATAATGTCTAAAATGTACTTTTCTTGCATGCAGGAGCGGATGAATTTGGCACGGCAGATTGAGAAGGCAGAGTATTTCAACAGTCGGGTAAAGCAGCACAACTCCTGGCTCCAGCAAGCTGCAGAGGCTCTTGAGATTGATCTTGATGATGACATGTTTATGGGTAATTAGAAATACTTGTTTAAGGTGTGCTCAGTTGGTCCCATAGCACTGGTGTTCAGAAGAAGTCCCACCATAGCAGAGGACCTCTTAAAACCTGCAGGGCAGAAAGTAAGGAAAGGAGTGTCATTACTTAGTATGTGGTGTTGCTGGTGTTTTCAGGATGATTGTGCAGATTTCTGGTGCTGTGTGAGGTGTGACAATTCTGGCAAATGACAGACAAGTCCACATGTTGTAGGACAAAAACTGTCAGCTTCTGGCAAACATTTTAGGATAATCTAACAGCACGGTATGTCCTGCTTGAGGTTTGTCCCCTCCGTGTCAAAGAAAAAGCTGTTTCTCCACTTCTGCTTATCTCTCCCACTCCTCTGTAGTCAGGCAGCAGGACAGGAGCCTGACAGCTCTGTGTGGGAACACCCAGGAAGTGATAGCAAACACCAAAAATTGTGAGCCTTATGTAGGTTGAGTTGTGTGGGCTAAATGGCCAATACTTACATTCAAGTTGCTGAGGTTTTTGGTGGTGTGTTAGAACTAAATAATTTTTAATGGTTTTAAAATTAAATGTTCTGCAGGCTGTGCCTGACAGAACGTGTAGGGCTGTGCAACTACTGGTGCCTTTTAGTTCAATACCATGAAGCTTTGCACTCCTTAGTTGCTCTGTAAAATGCCACATTGTGTTCAGATTTCAGGAGCTGAAGGTATGATTTCCTAACAGTTCTTTGAAAGCATTCTGAATAGGGCTGTTGCCTAGGTCACTTCAGCTTAAGCTGTCTTTAACCTTTTAGCTGCTAAATATACAGGTGCCTTAATTTTGAAGCATGTTCACATTAATTTTTTTCTTTCCTTTATTCATGGCTGGACTAGCTTGTTCTCAACTGCTTTGCAAGCAAACGCTAATCATCTCTGTCCAAACTGTTCAGGAGCACTCTCAGATAATTAGCACTCTGCTGTCTTGTTTTGACATAATCTGAATATGCTGTGCTTTGAAACGAGTTTCAAAACAGCACATCTAGTCCAAGTAAGTTGTGGCTCTTGAGTGAAGCACTTTGTAATTGCTACCCAGAATCTTGTCAGATTCATGCTTTTAAAATGTATTCAGTCTCTGATTCTTCTGTAGCTTGTTGGAGACCAATTAAAATTTCAGTCATTCCTCCCATAAATTAAATGCCTCTTACACTGTTACAAAGATTTAGTAATGTCCTTTGAATTTACATTATAGCAACATTGATTTCATTAATTCTGTCCAGTTCAGGCCTCTGATTTTATTAACTATCTCAAGTCTTTACTATGTCCTTATTTCTCCTGTGTTACTAAATCTGAGCACCTTATTGTTTTTTATGTATAAGGAGGAAGGGGCTTCCTGTTTTGTAGGTGCTGAAATGAGGCATGCATAAAGTAACAAAATACACAGAAGAAGCATCTGCCTGAGCTAGAAGCCCTAGGTTAATAATACCTTATCTTCTGGGCCCCCTTTCTGTTTGTTCCCAAGTCTGGTCTGGCTTTTGAGAGCCAACTGAATCTTTATCTTGACCTGGGCTATATTTACTCGGCAGTCAGAATTCTTCTTGATGTTGGTATCTTGTGGACAGTCTGGGTGATCTGAAAGTGTCAGATGACTGCAAGACTGTATGGGAATTGAGTGACCTTGTTAGAGAGATGAGATTAGCATCTGCCCTTAGCACTACAGAAGCCTGGTGAAAGATATCAGTGCAAATTCTTCTCTTGTAAAATTTCTGTATCTTTGCTTTCTGCCCCAAGGAAGAAAAGCTACTGAGCAAGAAGAAAACCAAAAGCAAAAGATGTTGAAAGGGATGAAAAAACAACTAAAGCACATGTTGTCCCAGCCACTGTTTAAAGTCCTTATGAAAACCAAGTACCCAACACAGTCTGGAAAACTACTTCTGCCTCAGACATCAGCGGGCATTTCAGAATCTGCTCTGGGTATTGTGTCCAAACAACAAGCCAAGAAGAAGAAGAAATCAATAAAATAAAATTAGATAACTGAGAAAGATCACTCAGTGTGACGGAAGCAAGGACAATCCTTATCAAGGCTGTCAGTGCTTATGGAAGAACTCAGCTAGAAGACACGTATCAGAGGGTGTTGCCTTTCTTGGTTGTCCAGGCACAAAGCAAGATGCTGATTTAAAGGGCTCTGTTAACATGTGTTTACTTACTGTTGAATCTTGTCTTGGATCTTGTTTTCTTATGTTCTTATTCTCTGTATTAACAGAAGTTAATTAGTTTTGTAATAGTTCTGTATTACTCTTTTTTTGTGAAATGGGTAAAAGTCACTGGGTAAAATTCACTGTGGGCATACTCTAATGATAAAACTTGATTTGAATTTTAGTGTCCTTAAAGGACAGGGGGAAGATAAGCTGTATACAATCTTGAGTACAATCTGAACTGGTGGGAATGGGAGGTTTGGCTTTTACTGCAGCCAGTTCAGTGAGAAGGGCAGCAAATATGGGTAGTGTTACCAGCAGGTCTAAAATTCTGGTTATGGAAATGTCTTCCGGTTTTCTATCTCTGATAATATTTTTTTGTTCTGTTCTCCACTAGGTCTAATTCCCTTAGTCCTGTGTTAATATGTTTTAGAATGTGCGAAAAAGTCAAGATAGAAGCGAGCCAGGACTGACCTTGGGAGATATGTAGAGTTTTGAGAAATAAGTGTTGCTACTCAATATTGTATTTAATATTTAGATTTAAGTCTGTATTTGAAAATGTTAAAACCATGACCTTTGCTTTAATGGAAAAGATGATGATGTTGTGAAATGTCACTTTTGAAGAGTGCTTCCTAATAATTATGCTTTTAAAGAATTTTAACCTGACCTGGGCAAGTGATTTTTAAAACTATTTTTAAAAACGTGTCAGAAAAATATAATTTGAATTTTTGTTAAATTATATCTGCTATAAAACTTGAAGCCTGTGTCTGTTTTCAGTCACTTGAGATTCTAGATTCCTTGTAGCTGATGCCCATTGCACTTAGCAAGCAAGGCACCCAAAAGGTAAGATGTAACAGTGAGATCTGTATTGGTGGGAGCACAGGGAACCTTCTTCACCTGCCAGCTCTAAATCAGGCTGAGTTTTTGTCTCATACAGTATAGAACTAGTGTTGCTGCTGTTATAGGAGGCATCAGTTTACTCAGCTAGTCAAAGAGAAATTTGTCTGTGGGGTTGAGTGCTCTGTCTTAACTACTTGCCACTTATGTGAGAATAGCAAACTCTTTACACTTTCATCTGTGTAAATAATTGAACACACACCCCCATCTCTGGAGGGTTCTTCTCTTGCATCCTTGCATTACTGAAGAAGAGCTGTGACAATTTAATCATAAGCATAACTTATCAATTATGTGTTAAGCTTTCCTTGCAATGCACTGTTTGTCTCTCACCCTTTGGAGCAGAGGAGAGAAGTTTTTTTTGGGGGGGGAAGAGGAGATGGTAAGGTTTCGTTTCCTCACCCATGTGAGAAGACAAAACATCTTTGGAGTTAATATAACATCTGAAAAATAATAAGAATTTAAAGAAAGTTCCTTGTAAGGGAAGCTGAAGAAAGGCAAAGCATGCCCTCATTCTTTTTCTTTGCCATTTTAATCACATTCCATTGTGGAACGGAAACTTGCATTGGTTTTACATCCCTGGAAGGACTAAAGACTGGGTGGGCCTTTTTTGCATTGTGTGATATGTTTTTATTTATGATTCATCAGCAAAATCAAGGTTGGATCCTGACAAGAGGTCTGCATCTCCTCCCTTGTCTGGAAATCTGCATGAGGTAGGACAGTTTTGTAAATTTCTAATTCCGTGTGATCAAGAGAATGAATTGGGGGACTGAGAGTATTGTCATTTCCTCTCCATCATTGCTGTGAACTTTTTCAGCTCCTTCTGGTTTACTGTTTAACAACCCAGTTTTCACATTACCACCCCTTTGTCTGGCCCTCAGCCCACTGTCTTGCTAAGCCTCCCCAAGATTCGAGCATGTCACTTCTGCCCTCCTCCTCATTGTCTTCATGCTTGCCTGTGGCATGCTCTGCTGCTGGTTTTCTCCTGAAGCTTCTGATGTGCTCAGCATGAGTTCTCAATGCTTAATCTACTGATTCTGCACCCCCACAGGAGCTCAAGCTGAGCCTGGACCCTAAAAATATCTGTGTCTTAAAAAGAATACTTGTCTGGTGCTCTGAAAGCTCTTGTGGGTGCGTGCTTTGTCTTGTCTTTACCTTATCAGGATACCTCGAGTCTTCTACCCAGAGGAAGAACCTTATACTTGCTTTAGCTAACTTAAATAAATTATTAAACAGTAACTGGAAAATATTACCACTTAGCTGCCCTCCTCCAGTGTGAACTAGGTTATGCAGGAAGAGAGGAAAGCAAAGGAGAATGTTTTCTCCAGCTCTGATCGTTTCATGTGTATCGCTGGTGCATATTAGACATGAAGAGTTTTACATCAAGTACATATGGTCAATTTTAGTATTTAATAAAATAAGTAGTATCAAATGGTTTCTGTAATGTTCTGCTGGCACAGCAGTTATGCTAAGGCCTCAAACAAGTAATCTTGTGTTATGTGGCTTATGTAGCTTATGTCTACTAAAATACCCATTAATTAAAGGACTAGTTAAATCTAGGCCATCACAGCAACTTCCAAGTAGATTAATAAAAGCATGAGTTCAGCAGAGTGTTGGTAGTGACAAAGCTGGTACAGAGCAACCAGTACTACATAGCAGAAATTTGAAACCCTAATAACTTCCGAGCCTTTGTTTTTATTTTGTGAATGTGTGGGACCAGTTGATCTCACCCTTGCCACAGAGTTCCTGGTCTGTCATATGCCTATCAAGAGATGAAAGAGTCCCTGTAGTTTAAGACATCTGCTGAGGAGATAGTTTGAATGGGGTCTCACATGTTGGACAGCAAAGTTTCCTGACATTCCCCTACCCTTTTCTTTCTCTCCTCCCCTATATGTTAATAAAACAGCAAGTTAGTAAAGCAGAAGCTGGAGTGCTGCCTCACCATCTGCCAGCAGCCCAGGCACATGGCTGGCCATGTGGCACATGGGAGGTAATTTGCACTTTGATGAGAAAGGGCCAGGTACATATGCTTACTGCAGTCAGTCTGTGTATCCAGGTCACTAAGGGGGAAAGAACAGGAAAAGGTCACTTTCTGATCGTCTTGCCTTACACTGTCTGACACAAGGAGGAGAATCTGGTAAAGAACACTGGACTGTCTTGAGTGTTGAAAAACCTTGAAAAAAGCTTATCCTGTGTTAGCAGAGTGCATTTTGGGTGTCTGAGCGATTCCAGACTATTTGATGAATGGCTTGGAGAAGGAAGGAGCTCAGACAACCATCAGTTGAGTGACTAGTAACAGACTGATAATGTATGGTAGCAAGCAACAATATGTAAGTAATATCCAGTAGTCCCTGCAGAAAAGTAAGATGTTGTCAGAGGTCATAGGATTGGGGAGAAGATGGAGGCAGGAGACAGAAGGGCTCTCTTTTAGGAAATGGTCCTGATTATGTAACCCTCTACAGATCCCTTCCATGCCCCCTTTTAATACTCAAGCAGATGTTGTCTGATATTTTTCTGGCCTGTGTAAGATTTCCTGTTCCAGCTTCCTTTTGTGAAAGGTACTTCAAGGCTTCAGTGTTTTCTCAAGCAAAGACTCCTCCTGGGGTTGGCCTCACAAGTGGGTAAGGAAGAGGAAAATAATCTGTGACTGCTGAGGCAAGTTCATCAGCCTGGGGAAGCAAGTGAACAGAGCTGTTAGACTTGTTTGTCTTGGAGTTCAGCAGCTCTTGCTGTGAAGCTTGAAGAAACTATAGCCTGTTTCCAGAGCAACCAACTTTAGGTGGTACAAATTGCCAAATTTCTGTAGGTAAGGGCGGTTACAGAACACAGACCCAAATCCTTGGTTGGAAAAGGAGAAAGGGCACCCCAAAGTACTCATGGGCTTTGGTACCACTAGGTTGATTAGCAGTCTGATGTTCTTTTATTATTGTTGTAATTGTATCAGCCTAATCAGTAGTGTGGATGGTTTTATAGGAGTAGAGTTTGTTTTCCTTTCCTCATGGGAATACCTACACCAGTATAAGCAATTTTAGTATTGACAGGTGTTATGAATTTATGCACGCCAGCCACCATAACAGGGTCTGACCCTAGGATCACACTGATTAGTGTAAAGTCTGAGTGAAGGTTTCCAATTCCTTCTTTATTAGTTCTCAGGTTACAACTCAAGCTGGGTGCCTCTGGAGAGGAAATCCTACCCAGATCACAACCCTCAATTATAGCCATATCACCCAGCACTCGATTAAGTCCAATCACTTAATTCTCGTTGGTGGTGTCTTGATTTCTTAGTGGTTTTCACTGTCATTGGGTGGGCTGTCTGAAGTTACCTCATTCTCCTGGAATTCTTTCCTTGTTTCTTGGCTTCTAGAAAAGAAAAAGAACCAAAACATCTATACAAAGAAGGGTTAATGCCAGAACTAGGCTAACCACTCCAATCTTAAGAAGGTATAGAAGATAATGTAATAATAAAACATCGAGTCTCATGGCTAACTCTTCTTCACTGGGCAGTTGGTGCCACCTGCATGTACAGTACCAGCTCCAACCTCGATGTTGGTTTTCCCCATGACCTTCATAACAGTTATTAATACACCACTCAGGATGACACGGGCCACAATTATTTCAGGATAACCAAAGCCAACCATACTGATGCAATCTCAAACCTTTCCCTCTTGAAACTGAGCCTGGAGTGATTGCCAATCTGTAAGGATGGTGGTTACACCACACAAGACACTGTCCTTGATTTACAGTCTCTGATGGTGCACTTGGTCAAGAAGCAGGTGACTCCCTGGTCCAGGTTGCTGTAGAAAGAAAACAAAAATGACATGGTTCTGGGATTTCCTTCAGCCTTTGTAAATTCACACAGTCCTGGTTTCAATCTCCAGGGTAGGATTGATAGAGTTCCGTGGGGTTGACAGTGGTCCATCTAACTGATATTCTTTGGACAGCTGTTTAATATGAGTGGTGAATCTGGTTATCCTTTTCTGCAACCTTTGCAGCAAAGTAAGAAGTTATTAATGCAGTATATGGACCCCTCCAACTAAGGGTCTAACTTTGTTTTGCAAGAGTTGACTTTTATTATTACTGCATCTCCAGACTGGTTATCATGTTCTACCTGATACTGGTTGAAGCCATCTGGCTTGTGCCCCTTTTTTCTTATAGATATTTTTGTATCTCCAAAACAAATTTGGTAACTCATTTATCTCCATCTAAGAGGCTAGTCCTAGTGGGGACAAAGGTCCCAGGTACAGAAAAGTGCCTGCCAAACTATTTCTGCTGGTGACAACCCTAGAGATTGGTGAGGGCTATTTCTAGTATCTCATAGCACTATTCCTAAAACTTCAGGCCATTTCAAACCTATCTGTCAAGTTTGAGCAGTTTTACTTTTAAGAGCCCTATTCATTCTTTCACCTGTCCTGAGGCATGCAGATGATATGGAACATGTAGTTGTTAGTGTATTCCTAAACTTTTATAGAAGCTTGTTTAGTATTCCCTATGAAAACTGAGAACTCCTGTCAGATCCTATGGTTTCAGGTATTCTGTATCTGGGAATGATTTCCCGCAAGAGTGCTTTGACTACTGCAATATCAGCTTTCCTGGTGGGAAAAGCATGTACCCATCCCGAGAGCTGATCCACGATTACCAGCAGGTGCCTATATCTGCTCACAGGAGGCATGTCAACATAATCAGTCTGAAGTCTTTGGAATGGGAAATATTCTCATGGTCATCATTCAACCTCCTGTGTGTATTTTGCATTGGAAAACTCCCAACATGTGTGACAAGAACTCACAATCCTTTTTACTGCCAGATATATATTCTGGGAGCTGCCCACATTTTTT